GGGAGTGGGGGGAAGTGCGGCTTCCAACGTAGTGACGAACGGAAGAGGGAGGGTGAGGGACGGAGTAAGAAAAATCGCCTAAATCGCTTCCTCCTCCCGTCCCTCCCGGGAAACCGCCCCGGATCCGCCTATGATTCTTGGTAATATTTCAGTTTTGGTACTACCCATGGTACAATATTCTGGAATTTATACTAATTGGTGCGGAGAGAGTAGAATAAAAGATAAGGGATTGGTATGTATTTAACTACTTTTTTTAACACTTCTCGACCTATGCTCTCAAAGTGAAAGTAATTAGTTGGACTGGTTGAATTTTAGGATGAAAAGAAATAAAAATCACTTTTTTTTTTATTTTTTTAATGACTCGTTGAATGGCGCCGGTAAATTGGACAGAAATTCACGTTCTTTGCAGTAAAAAGTGAAAAAATGTTCGCGACAAACAACACTCGGCCTCATTCGTGTTGATGGATTCAATTGAGGCTTTTCCTGAATTGGAAGGGAATGAGGAAGGAAAAAAGGATGAATAAAAAATTGGCTGCAAATGAGGAAGGAAGAAATAAATGGCGAGGAGGGAGATTCGGTGCGATGGCGCTGATTGACACGACAGCGAACATCTGGCCCCTTTTTTTCCGGGAAACAGCAACAACGCTGATCGAATTATATTAGTACGACTTGACGTTGGCCTTTTCAAGCTTCCGCTCACACCTTTGCTTCCTAGCCCTTGTCACGCTACATCCCGAGCATGTCTGAATGAACAATGAGTCAATTTTGCGCACACTAAGAAGAAATGGAATGAAGCTTGCTAGGATCTAGTAAAGTGAAGAAAACTGAAATTGAAGGAAAAAATTAAAATTGAAGGAGGCTCAATTCCAATAAAATGCACTTGGAACACACACATAAATATCTAAATACATAAATTTACACAACTATATATATACATATATATATATATATATACAAAGTCACGATAATAAGTTTCTTCTTCAATTGTTGGAGCACAAAACGCATAAAAACAGATCGAATGTAAACGAGTTATTGTTAGGTTCAATCGCTCTGATTACTTGGCCCCCAATGTAAACGGAAATAAGCGACTTCGCAAAGCTCCAACATTTAAAAAATTACTGTGAATTCGAGATTCTCTTAAAGATTTTAGTCCTATTTCAAGTAATGAAGCACTTACTGTCTTTGAATAATCGATCAACGTTCAGGCCATAAGTTGAGCATGCTTCATAGTAGCCGGAGCATTTTGGTAGGCTTTTGGCCATTTGCCGACCTTCCTGTTCAGTGATTACTCGCGGATTCGACTCTGTCACCGCATCCTGAAACCATTGCGCAGTCATTTTTAAGACGAACTTGCAAAGTTATTTTGCGGCTACAACTCGAGGCTTATTGGAACAAAAAAGTCTGAGAAGATGATAAGGTGAACAACCTGCATGCCGACCATTAGAACCGGTACTTCACTGATATTGCGATATTTGGACATTTGTTCGTAGTAATGCAGAGCTGTTTCGATACTTTCCTGACTTTCCAACGAGAAGACAAAGATGACCGCGTCCAGCCACTGCGTAAACTGCAATTTAGTGCGGTGAACACGCAGCCGTAAAAGTTTCGAGATATACATAAGCATATAAATCTAATTTGGCCGAACGTGCGCGTACAGTTATAATTTAACCAATATTACGCTTCTCATGACAGTGCTGTTAAATTAGTCGGCTAGCTACAAGATCTCGGATGCTACTGTCTATTAGTGATGCGCCCCTACTGGATTACCGAGATGAAGAACCATAGCCGATGAGTTACAAATTTTGTCCTACAGAAATGTGAACTGGAAGTATTCTCCATGAGAAAGTCACTGGGAAGTATTCTTCATGAGAAAGTCACTGGGGGGATATTAAAGCCAAAAGCATTATGTACCAAACGTAAAAAACCTGGACCTTATGGCGGTCATTTCAGATTAGGGGATCCGGGTGTGATAAAAGCGTTGCAGAACCGTCATCACTTCAAAAAATTTAAGAATATCGGAATGTTGGGGGAACATTAGTTCAAGCATGGCAAGAAGTTGATAATACTACTGGAGGGATAAAGGCTAAAGGTCGGGCGATTTTGCCTTCTAACTGACCAACAGTTCTGTTGATATCAGCTGAGAGACAAAATCGCCTGACCTATTACACTTTCAATAAGGAATCAACAAATTACATCAAAAATGGGCGGTGTGAAGAATGGAAAAGTGATACTAGGAGAAGCAGTGGTCTGCCCCACGGAAAACAGCATACGGAGAGACGGGTTGTGGAGAAGGATAAACAAAAATCCTTCCCTACCTAAACCACTTCAGAGGTCAGCAGCGATCGTATTCGATTACGCGGGGTCGGATACAACAAAGGTCGGCACTTCAACGGGGTAACACATTTCACCGGAACAATCAATGGTGTTACAATTTGTTAGATCTTAGTCTTTTTACCACAATGTTAAACCAAAAAAAGCTGCGCCAATACAATGGAAAGATTCATTTGAACGCAGTCTATGTAGTTATATGATGGGAGAAGCCCAGAACAAAGAAGAATGGAGAAGTAGCCACGCTTCATCAATGGCAAGGAAAAATACGATGTAGTGAAAGTGTCAAAATAAGTGGGATGCGAAAAATACAAAAAATATCGCACACAGTGAAAGAGAAACATCATACTGACCCATTAAATTTTTTAATTTTTTGACCGGTTTACATTATTTCCAATTGTCTTTTGTAAGCAATTTCGTTTAAATATTCAAAGACCCAGTAAATGCGTAATTTAGCAACGTACATTAATCCATGGGCCTTTTTTGGATATTACAAGAAAACATAGACAGCAAAGAAAATTTTATCAGCTAAAGAGAAACCTGATAATCAGGTGCAACGCTTCCTTCGTCTCGTATTAGCAACAAATAGCTCTGGCCATCAAGTACCACTTCTTTTTTGAAACGGCCACCTAAATCGGACCTTTTTTTTGTATTCCATTAGGAATATTATCAAAAATGCAGCTTAAAAAAAGGATAAAACCAAGTGTTCAAGTTTAAGAGTGTGCAAGGCTTGTAAGAGAGGAGACGAGAAGAGAGAAGGATTGCAGAAATAAGGCTGGTATAGAAGATATATGTCTTCTCTGAATTATAAGAATACACTGAAGGCTGCCAGTGCGGTAAAAGTGTCCGCTCGAACAGCTCTATGGAATTATGCGGATGTTAAAAACGTAAAATAGTGAATAAAAAAACTGCTTATTACATCTTTAATAGCAGTTAACCAGAGTATCAAAATAAGTATCCTCATTAAGAAAATAACTGGTAGAAAAAATTGACCTTCAGGAGATTCTTCATTCGTATATGCACCTG